TTTCTCACCTCATCTTGTGTTAGTTGAAAATACCCATCGCCTCGCGTATTAGCAGTTTCTTCCAGTGGCGTTTGACAACTCGTACCAGATGATCTGTCAAACCTTAGTAACCTGAACAAACGGGATCTGCGAACAAAAATAAACAATCCTGAATTAAAAGACACGCTGTTTTGTGTATATAGCATTGACCAAGCACGAGGGCCACTTTGGGAAAGCATCGGCCATCTTGACAGGAGAGATCGAGCACAGCGACAACTTCCCAAGCATGAAAAGACCAAAGACCGATATTCTCCCTGGTTGGCTCCGAGCAAGCTTTGTTATAAAAGATTAATTACATGGCTATGACTCAAGAAATTTAGAGAGACCATCGCTCGCACGGGAAGTTTTTGTTTCAGAATAGGTACCTTTTGAGGGATGACAGAATTCGTGTCTGGGCTTTTTTCGTCCCTTTTCCATCCATTCAAAACATCAACATGCTTTCACTTGTAGGAATGGCTTCACCGTTCAATGCATAAGCAAGCTACTGCGTGAGCATGAAGTACCTTTATCGGTTTGTTGCGGAATCATATGTAGTCTAACAAGCGCAGGCTATAATCTGTCGACGCGCGCAGGGGGCGACCTGTACCGTTTACAAAGTTTGTCATAATTGGCCAAACGAAACAATAGGTAAACAACACAAACAACGCCTCTAGCCACATGAACAAATGACGTGAAGATTAACAAGAACAAAAAAGTAGAGGGTTTAAAGAGGTGCAGGTCACCTTGGACGCAGAATGACTGATGCCCAGATTTCACAGAAAATGTCAGTGGANATGGCTTCACCGTTCAATGCATAAGCAAGCTATTGCGTGAGCATGAAGTACCTTTATCGGTTTGTTGCGGAATCATATGTAGTCTACCAAGCACAGACTATAATCTGTCGACGCGCGCAGGGGGCGACCTGTACCGTTTACAAGGTTTGTTATAATTGGCCAAACGAAACAATAAGTAACCAATACAAACAACGCCTCTAGCCACAAGAACAAAAGAAGTGAAGATTAACAACAACAAAAAATTAGGTTTTAAAGAGGTGCAGGTCACCTTGGACGCAGAATGACTGATGCCCAGATTTCACAGAAAATGTCAGTGGATTTAGGCAGGAATTTTCGCAGTTAGTATTGCACGCCGAATTTATCATTCGCACCTGATTGGCTCACAAACTATGGAATTGGGTAGTGAATGGAAGACATGTTAACGGAGCTCCTATGAGTGATATCACATCCATTGCGGCGTTTTTTTCGACCGACCATAAAACTTTCACAGGGAAACTTTCGCAGGCTTTTGGTTTTTCCTTAAGAAATGACATCGAATGGCTAAGCCGTGAAACCATCCCTTAAAACAAAAATAGACTACACACGACAACGGAAACAGAAAACTGCCTCTTTTCTTTTTCCATCCTCCTCCCCCTCATTACCGACCACTCCCCACTCCCTCCCACCACCCCCCCCCCGCTTCCTCACCCCTCCCGACTGGATCAAAGTTCTTACTTGAGACAAGAGACGAATCTGTTAAGTGTGAGCGACAAGACAGCGACAAGAAGTTCATAAAGCAGTACATGGTACAGAGATAAATTCACGTAGTAGAGAAAGAAGAAGAANACCTGTAGAGGAAAGGAGAAAAAAAACCGAGAGTGGATATAACTTTCAGCAGCCACACAAGTAACACAATTCGCCATTGATTCGGTGACAGAAATGGGATATCTCAACTCATTAAAAATCTTTCCGCCCTTGTATGTTCCGCACTGTAAAATTCATTCAGTGAAATTGGACTTCCAGGGGCACCCTGCGAATAGTTTCGGTAAATTCTCTGTTCGGAAGGCCTTAAATCCCCTCAGATTTTCTTAAGAGAATTGTCACCTCGAACTTTTGTGATATGTTGTTGTTTTCGGATTGATCAAAATGACCGAAAAAAGGTCAGCGATGATTTTTGGAAAGACAATGGACTGTTCACAGTCCCCTATTTTTCCGTGAGATCGTAGATGTCGATCGTTGAGCTCGACGGGCCGCCATCTTGATCTCTTGATGCGAGCGAAACTGGAGAAAGTATAAAATGCCCGTGGGTAGGGGTGGTGACACAGTTGGTAAGGTTTTCGGGAAATGGACAGAAAAGAGAGGGGACTCAGTTCCCTAGAATGACCAAAGACACCAAACAAATAATAAAATTCATAGCGCAGCCTAAAATTAGCCTACAGAGCTTTAAAAAGCACTCTAGACGGCCCAAAACGGCGTTTTTTAAAGCATTTGAGAGAAAACTGTTCTCTTGAAGAACGAAATATGCCAAACGGTCTAACATAGTTTTTTGCAACTCGCATGTGGTTTAGATGAGATGAGAAAGACGACCTTCACCGAATAATGGTAGAATTTTACCGGAATCAGTCGCGACCAACCGAAAGAGTCGGTGCTAAACATTTCTGTTCTGGATTTTACTTCCACAAAATTTCAAGATCTTTGGGCTTGAAGGTAAATAACTATCTGTCTACTTAATGTTGTGTTTTCTGCAGGTTATCCCAAAATAAATATACACAACTTTATGACACACGCGTGCGAGCAGAGAAAGGCCTTAACCAACGTTTTTACTACACTTACCACAAGTACTATAAACAATGGCGGTAAAAATATCTTGAAAAACGCGGCTCGCTTGTGTCTTCTCATGTGAAAGAGAAATTCGTAACGAGAAACGCCTTGATCCAAAAATGGATTATATCTGTAAAACAATAAAAAAAAACCACAAACGTAAAGTCAACGTTAAGCATAGTTTTCAGATTCTTATGGGAATTCAACGAGGTTTTCGACATTTTGGGGACGTTTGAAGCCTTTGTTACAGTTTACAACGTTTTGATTTACAACAAAGGTACATCTTAAAATATCTTAAGTGTTAAAGTTTTCGTCTGTCAGTTTTGCGATGTTTTTACTTTAACGATACATTTTGAGTGACGGATTCACGAGTCGTGTATACAAGACAAAACAAAACCAAGGTAACGAAACGTTACAAATTCGCCACAAATCTTAGATTATAGAATTTTTGTGTATGATAACTTTTGTAGGTTTCTTGTGGGGAGGGGCTGAGAGAGAGGTACCTTTCATACACCATCTGTGACCAAGAGTTAGTGTCAAACAACCAGCCAGTGTAGTTAAGAGTAGGAGATACACCACCACGATATTTGAAATCGCTGTCATCGGAGCCCTAATAAGGAATTAAAAAGACATTAACAGGGCATATACGTTCGGCGCAGGAATTCACAGAGTGTTTGYTGAACCATGTGTCTATAGGATTGAGCATGTGGTGACCTGCAATCAAGGGTTCTTTCGTTCATCAAAAAAAAAAAAAAGAACGCCTGATCACAGGTTAGCTTGAGCAGTGAAAACTAGCATTCTCGTGCAACATTGCGCACAAAAAAATTATTTCAATTCCTCTTTCCTAAAACAAGATGTACTTTTGAAAAAATTATTTCCCATGCAGCTATTAAAACGAGACAGAATTAGAGAAGAAAACAAAAACATTGTGCTAGACATTTTGTAAAAAGACAAGAAGACTAGCGCTTATAGGCCCGTCCACTTATAAGTCCCACTGGTTATAGACCTATCTACGTGTAAACCAGAAATTACATCCGGTTACAAGCCCCCGCGGATATAAGCCCTCCTGTAACTTTCCTTGTTTTGAATTCGTTGTATTATGATGTTTTAAAGCTTAATTAGCAGTAAATGAAAACCCTATTTTGATCAACATGTGCAGCTATAGCTCGTTTCAAATTGGGTTTTATTCCATTATCAGTCTCCCTTGGATGTAAGCCCCTCTGTTCATACTTGCCAATCTAAAAGCCCTTATGTAGTTGTATAGGCCCAGGACTTATAAGCGGCAGTTTATGATATACGATAATGGAGAAAATAAATCATAAATTTAAGATTTTTTACCTGCATTACTTTCCATCTGAGCTNGGAGAAAATAAATCATAAATTTAAGATTTTTTACCTGCATTACTTTCCACCTGAGCTCCTTTGCAGTCATTTCCATGTCCTGGATGACAATTTTCAATGTTTGGTTGTCATAGCTAATGCAAAAATCAAATATACTATTATTTTCAGGTTTTTTTAAAGCTACTATCTCTTGTCCTGATCTTAATTTAATTTATATAAATAAATAAAAAAATAAGGGATAAATAAAGCTGTTGTTGTCTTCTGATAAGCAAGATATTTAGTGCACTCACGGATAGTCTTGAAGATCTGCAGCAAAGTTAAAAGCTGATTTCACCCTAAAATACTTTCCTTCATGACTAGACACCTGAAAGAAATTCAATCATCATTGTCACTATTTCATATTATTTAA